TAGTTCCAAATTGCAAAATGCAGTCCAACTATTCCGACTCTAAGGCTACCTTTGGAAGCATCTTTACACAATGAAGGCGTTACTTATGCGTCGTCACTTTCTATCACGGAATTAACTTAAGCAACCACATTAATACTGCCGTGCTAAGGAAGAATGCCGTATGAGCCATCAGGCGTAGCCGAATTACCTTCGATAAAACACGAATTTTCTTGTAAACATTTGAATATTTTCCATCCAGTATTTCAGATTATTGTGTTCGCGATTTCGCCTAAAGTTCCTGAAAATTTCAAGGGAAAATATCGATAACTTCCCTCAAAAATAAACGTTTTATCGAAGGAAATTCGGCAACTCTCGAATGTTCATACGGCGTTCTTCCTTAGCACGGCAGACTAGTTGGACCACATTTTGCAAAAAGGAACCACTATTTCTGGCTCATTTCATAAAAAGCATATATGCCACTGGTTTCCCTATGCAGAAAGGTGCTTTTCTGAAAAGGCCAGAGATAGTGGTTCCTTATTGCAAAATGCAATCCAGTTATTCGACGTGCTGCTACACTGTTGATTGGGTTTTTTAAAACATGAATTTATTCGACCTCCCCAGCCAAGCTAGGAAGTATCACCTGGCGAGATGGGTTCTAAAATAATCCGTCAAGAGCTTGGATAAAAGTGATTCTTCATAACCGAAGCAGCAGTTGCAAACCTCACAGGTCTGTGAGTCAATTGCAGTTCTAAACCTCGAAATAAAGTTGACTTGTATCAGGATTCTATTACTTAGATCTTGTTAAACATCAACAAATAGGCAGAATACACCGTTACATAAAAAAATTTTTTTTCTTCAATCAAAAGGAACTTAAATTGATGATTTCTAACAGCAGAAGCATTCTAGTTGCTTTCCAATAAAAAAAAAAATGAAAACAGGTCCGGTTTTTTCGAGGCGATCCTTTCCAGCCTCTCTGGTAAGTAAAAAACTGATGTCCGCTATATCGCATGGGCCAAGTCAAAAATCTTGGCAGATTTGTATTTTTAAGCATAAAACAGGTCAATGACCCCTGCACATTACGTCAAATTCCGACAATTCCTACTTAGCATTCCTGGCCGTTCGAGAAATCAAGTGTTAGTAATAACTGCGGAGGGAACGGAGGGAGGCCGCTAGGCTTCCGATCCCATTAACCCCCTCACCAAAGTATACGTTTGGGAGTTGCATCCATTATCACCCTTACTGTCCTTCTTCCATACATTGACATACATTCAATATTTATTCCTTCATTCAAAAAGTAACTCTGTCGAAAAAATTTGTTTCTTTCGATAAAACTTGCATAGATATTCAACTGAAAATTCCACGCCCGGAACAAATTCACTTTCTCAAGTATAAAAATCAATTTTTTAAAGTCCTCCTTGAATGATTCTGTGTGTTCTCCGCAGTTACGACCAGTTTCCCTCAAACCAATGACAGGTATGGGTAGATGGTATTACTTCCGCCCAAAGTATCACAAGCACCATGTGACTATTCGACGTCCGCCACCATTTTATTTCTTTAGAGAGAAATTGTTTAACAGAGCTGTCCGAAAATTTCACCAAATTTTCTTTGTGCTGACGATGAAATTTAGTGAAATTTTCAAACAGATTCAACCAACAATTTCTCTATAAAAAAAATAAAATTGTGACAGAAATTTTTAATCGTTGCATTGTGCTTGTGATACTTTGGCCGGAAGGTGACGATTAGACTATACGCAATGATTTTCTCTTGGACAAATCTTATTATTATTTCTTGCAATACTCTCTGATGAGAGTGATTCTTAAGACTTGTGCACTGGGGCAAACCGCCTTGGTAAGGCTAAGAAGTCAAAACCTACCGAAATTTTTTAATATGACCAAAGCAATACATCACTTGCCAAGAACAAGGGATAAATCACCTCCGGCAGTGTCTCTGTTGCAGGCAAATAGTAAAATCAGGCATTTTGTCAAATGTCTAAGCAGATAGTAATATTTTGACGGTTTCCACAATTTTGTGAATTTATCGCAAAGAGCTCGTGAGTTTTCAATATTTTTCGAAAAATAACTCATCAAACCTACAAACTCCTTTTGTCTCTAAGTACCTCTTTAATTCCTCCTCATATTTTCATATGTTCACATTCTAAAAATTCTGTATTTTATGATATGCTGAAAATTTCAAGACGAGTGTCTGTTCAGGGGCTTAAAATCGTTTAAAATACTATTGTGTGATGCAAATGTTTACCGAGAATTGTATCTTACAGGAGCAATTTATTATTTTTCCTAAAATTAGGAAAAGATTCGGCATTTCAATCTAAGTTAGAGTATTTTACTATTTGCCTAGGCATTTGACAAAATGCCTGATTTTACTATTTGCCTGCGACATCTCCATTTTACGACTTTTGAGACGCAGCACGTATGATATGATGCCCTGCGACCCACTATGCGTCTTGCATATTCTATGATTAACCTGCCACTCCTGTGCCTGTTCTGCTAAAATTTTGAAAACTACCCGTATATTTTCAAATAAAATGCGTTTTAAGCGTATTACATGCAAAATTTAGACACGTTCCATTTGATGTGTTATACGCAGAATTTCTGCAAATTCCATTCAGCGTATTATTTGTGGGAAAGATGCTTATTTTGGCATGTTAAAAGAAAAATTTAGACGCATTTCATTTGGTGTATTGTTTGTCTGGAAAGTGCTGATAATTGCGTTCCAACTGGGGAATTTCATGAGACGCAGTTGCGAACACACTGACCTCCGAAGAGGTTCCAGTTGGTTGGTACAGAATTCTGTTGCAAGAAATATTAGAGGCAAGCTCCTTAGGGCTCAAAGAAAAATTTTCTAGAGTGATATATGATGTAAAAATCTATTAACTGATATGCTACTTACAGACTTTAAAAGTTTCCTTCGGAAGGGTGCAAGTGACCTCAGTTGGTAAGGTAACAAGAATGGTTCGACACTGAATTTCACGATCTAAAACGTACAAAAAAGGGATAAAACACTAACTCGTTTCAACTGACGATGAGTAACACTAGAAAGTCATTGTCATTAATTACCATAACACTGAAACATGGTTCAAGTAAGGTCATGTACGTGTAAACAGACATGAAACAATGAAATAAACCCTGACCTGAATAAACCGCTCAAGAGATTTGAGGTTATGTACCGATGCACCGAGAAAACAGCAATAACCAGATACTGCCGGCGCGGCGCAGAGATACAACTATTCGTGCTTGATGGATGTCTGCGTCGTATCTGCAGGATTGAAGGCGCGCTGCTGGTAGGAGGCTAGAATTGGCAGCATCTTTCACATGAACAATATTTGGAGTTTAAGCGCCGAATTTTCTGGTCATAGAGCGAGCACTGTCACGCCAGATCACATGCCAGAAGATGGAATGATGAGAGTAATTAATTGAACCGGCTAATATTGGCTCGCGAATTCAATACGCAAGAGAGCCCTTTCAATTGGTGAACGGACAACATGCATGCATAAGACTCTGACACGATACTAATAATTTTACAGTGTAGTTGCAATTTATTTGCAAACCTGTGATTTATTTTTAATCCTAATCAAAATTCCGATTTGTTCCTTTTTTTGGTGTTTTTTTATGACTCTTTTTTTTTTTGTAATTCAAGAGTGGATGAGGGATTGAAACTCCCTCACGCAAGCCTCGGCTTGGAGGGTTGAATTGGACTACATTTTGCAATTTGGAACTATAAATTCCGGCCTAGTTTAAAAACAACGCATGTGCCATTAGTATCCCTATGCAGATAAGTGTTTTTCAGATGAGCCAGGATTTATAGGTCCAAATTGCAAAATGTAGTCCAATTACTGTCATGCTGAATAGTAAATGTGCATATTTTTCACCAAAAAAAAGAAAAAAAGGAGAAAGATATGAGATCTCCGACTTAAAAAAAAAGGACACCCTCAATCGATTCTGGGGATTTGGGGAGTAAATTACACTAAAGAACCGCAATAAATTTGAAAATACTTACCGCAGAAATTCTTTAAAGCAGGGCGTTCCAAAAACTTGCGCGACAAAAAAATAATGTTTTTGGCGGATTTCCAGTCCTGAGTTGCAGACCAGAAAATCGAATTTTTTGTGTCATTTTACAGGGAACTAGCATTATTTTAGTTCAATCGGAGAAATTTTCGCTTCCACCCCAAAATTTTAATTTTTACTGAAACGAGATCTTTAATAGTTCCTAGGAGTCTTTCGTGACAGCTTTTTAAGGTGATTCGACGGACGCCATTTTTTGCGTCAGAGCGACGTGCGATATATCGTATCGATTCGTTTCATTATTTCAGCTGCTTGTCCTTACATACATAAAGTCGCTTTTATAGCGCCGCCTCGCGCTCTGCGACGCCCAATCGCCATTGCCCCCTATCCTCCCAGAGATAGCTGCTTGTCCTTTATTTTCTAATTTTGATGTCGCACTTCTGTTGGCATGAGTTTAAAGAATTTATGTGCCAAATTTGACAAAGAAATTCAACGTAATAGAGGCGTGGTTTTTTAAAAAGGAAAAATATCGCATTCGATACTGATATCGAAACTGCACTTGAATGCGACATTTTTCCTCCAAAAAAACCACGCCTTTATTACGTTGAATTCGTTTGTCAAAATTGGTGAGTGAACTGTTCAGTCTCCTGAAAACAAAATTGTGATCTTAAAAGTCGAAACAAATGACAAGTATAGTCGAAATTATGGAACGAATCGATACGATATATAGCACGTCGCTCTGACACAAAAAATGGCATCCGTCGAATCATCTTAAGTCATCACTACCAGGATAGGCATCTCTATAATGCAAATTTCTGAATTTTTTCTACTATGATTACTCTCTAAAGTCAGCAAAATTTCGGACAGAAACCGCACGGTCAAATTTTTGTGAAAAATGTAATTGTTTCCGTCAATTTTGCAACCTTGGAATGCAGTTACGTATTCCACCGTCTAGGAGAACGCCGAATTTTGCAGAGAAGATGATTATAGATTGGACATGCATGGAAACGAGAAAACGGTAATGTTACGGAAAACCTCTGTATGAACATACAAAAGTCTCCACATCTTTCCTAATAAACATCGAGTTTACTTGCGAATAGTTGAATATGTATCCTTCGTTTTTCCCGCGGACTTTTATTGACAGGTAATTTAAATACCTGAAATTTTTCTGTAATAATACCAATGGCATTCCTCTAAATAAATACTTGGTCAGAAGAAATTTGGCAACGCATGAATATTCATACGATGTTCTTCGCAATTACGGCGTGACCAGTTTTTCCTGAATTAGTCGCAACACGTACAAGTGAATCGAGTAAGAAGAGACTCATTAAGTGAAGCAATTAAGTCGACCGAGAAACTCTCAAACCAAGTATATCGGTCGGCGGCGTTGCAGACTTCCTCTCGTACTTTATTTTTCAAATGCATCGCTTTTTGCAAAAAGGAACCAAGAGCATTCCAATGTTGCAAGGATTGTGCAACTTATAATCTTTGCAAAATATTCCTGAAATCATGCGGAAACTTGAATTTACAAAGGTAATTTTCGTCTTGAATTCATAGTTCATTATTGGGAGTAAAGATAAAACTCGTTTAGATGATCAGTATGTATTTGCAGGCTAAAAAAGTTGCACAATCTTAGCAACATTGGAATGCTCTTGGTTTCTTTTTGCAAAATGCAATCCAAATGGTAAACCATTTAAAGAAAAATAACTGCCTTGCTTTTTCTCCTCTATGCGAGGAAAATTTTATTAAAACCTCAAGTAATGATGTTGTCTTCTTCTCATTTAAAAAAAAAAATAAATGAGAGCAGAGATTTGAAACACTGGAAATGAGATAAGTGGTTTGGAAGGTTCGACGTCGAAGCGAAGCGTCATAAAAAGATGATGAAAAAAAAAAAAATGATGAAAAAAGATGATGAGAAAAAATGATAAAAGTGAACATGCCTAACTTTATACCGACATCTCATTAACACGCATTTAATCTTAATTTCAACGGAGTAGTACAGTGCAGTGCGCTAAACTTCTTGGTTACTTTTCAAACAAATTCAGTACAAGATCACCTTCAAGGCTCGATGTTAGAGTCGTTAATCTACCATCAGATGGTCCTTTTCAAAATCTATCGTAGATTTCTGCAATTTCATGAAAAATTGCCACCCTGCATGAGAAATGAATGAATTAACGTAAATTTTCCCGACAAAAAGCACACGTCCCGCTAATCTTTAAACAATTCGATCGGATGAGGCTTCGATAAATGCGACGACTTCAAACTCTAATCCCGGACCTCTGAGGCATGTATCGGACTAATCCTGATTTCTGGACCTATCTTCTTTTAACAATCCCACGGATAAGATTCTTGTTTCCGTGATTATCGAGAGTGACGGTATGTGGCTACCCCCACTCGAGGAAAATGGCGTCCCCTTGATCTGAACATTGATTCGGTTTGAACTCGAAGTTGCAGCCCAAACGACTGCACGGATACAGACGAAAATATAAACTTCACGACGATCTAATAGCAGCCGAGGTAGATTCAAGGCCACGTTTGTCATTTCGTTAGGGTACAAAACCTATCATCAGACTTTTGAACTTAGAAAATAAGACTGAAAATTAGAGTTTCCGATCAAAGGTGCCCCATGGTTCATGACAGGCGCGCTCAGAGACTATAAAAGCTCGAAGAACAGATTTTCTTTCAGGTGAGTCTCCTTCCTTAGCAACATTAATGATGTCAGTTCTTTTTTTCTGGACCAATTGAGGATTACATTGCCACGAGCAAAAGTGGGCGATAAAATATGCGAAGTAACTGGAGATAAGGCAGTTAACAGGTTGACATGCCTTAGTTGGTAGAGCAATTCACAATTTACGCGAGTTCGGTTCCGACTCCAACTCAAGAATACAAATATTTCGACTTCAGTGTGTTGCACAGTATCGCACCCAATTGAAGGCGTTTTATGTTGGCCCGACCACAACCTACGGAAAGTGGAGTCTTGATGTTTTGTCATAGAGTGCTGCTTAGCTACATTAGTTGAATGCAGAATGATGAGAACTTTTCACTCATATTCGTATCAGGAGGAGCTGATAACTTTTCGGGTTGAAATTAAGTATTCAGTTTTATTTTAGACGCATAATAAAAGTCTGACTATTTTATACCGAGAAATCCCTTTCCCATGCTAAATATAGTTCCCGTCAAAAAGTTCCATCTGATACCGAGTTTCGAAAAAATCGATTGAACCCACTCGTTAATGAGGGCGCTCAACGGAGCTCAATCGCAGCTAATCGCGGTTAAATACTCGACTTTATCTAATTTATCTTCTCGCGCAAACTAGTCGCAGGACTGTATGAGCCCC